ACTGTCCCCAAGTTCCCTTTAATTTATCCCGGTGTGGGGTACAAATATTATTTCTATGAATGCAATGACATATACACAAAAAGGTTAAAAACCAACAGTTTAAGCTTTAGATAAATATTTTTTAACATGAAATCCTTTGCAAGTGTGAGAAACATACAAGTGCAGCTTTCTGGAGAAAAAATAGTTTTATTAGATTTTCAAAGTTCAAGTTTTTTAAAGTTCAATAGTTTTATTAGATTTTCAAAGTTCAAGGAGTTGGCCTCAGGGATTTCAAGTTCTCTATAACTTCACCCCTGAAGAAGTAATGATACACGTTAAGAGGTAAATGATAAAAGGGCTAAGCAAGCCTCCAATATGATACAGGCAGCCAGAATGAAGGTGCTATACAACTAGAACTACTGTATCTCTTTGGCTCTGTCTTTGAGAATCCTATTTTGACCTCTCTCTTCTCAAATTAAGTTAAAGGATCATAAAATTTTCACTGTATCAGTAGATGCTACTACTCAGATCATCAGAAGACCAAGCAGAAGGTAGGGTGGAGTCCATGTATATAAATATGCAAAAAGAATAATTTCAAGCACAATTTAAAAAACAAATATACTGGGAGCTTTAGCCAAAGCCTTAAGGCCAATATCATGAAAAGTAGATTTGTCCAGACTATTTTCTCTGTGGAGTTCTCTGTAGAATTTTGTACATATCTACAATTCTACATATCTAGGTATATGTTATGGTTTGTGTTTGGATATCTCCCCAAAGCCTCATGCAGTCATGTAGGAGGCTGAATCTATCATTTGTGATTGGTTTGTCGTCTGTTCTGGGATTGGCGGTATGAGAGTGGCATACAATATAAAGGAGGGAAAGAGGTATGCTCCTCCCTTTTTTCCTTTTCACTCTTGTTGCTTATTGCCACTATAAACTGTCACCCCTCAGCCACACTTGCTGCTTGGAGCCTGCTGAGTATACACTGAAACCTCCACAAACTGTAAGCTAACTAAACCTTCCCTTACTTCATCTTGAGCATCAGGTATTTTGTCTCAACAACAAGAAAAAGAATAACCAAGACAGTATATTTCCCTTGAGGCCTAGCAGAGTCAACCGAAGTCACAGTACCACTAAAGTATACTATAAGTATTTGTTTGGTCTTTTTTTTTCTTTTTTTTATTGATACCAGGGATCGAACTCATGACTGCCTGCTTGCAAGGCAGGCGCTTATGCCGTTGAGCTAAATCCCCAACCCCTGTAAGTATTTGTTGATGTGTAGTATGACTAGTAGGCTATGAGCTTCTGAGAGGTAGATAAACATTTATTATATTCTTAAAACAGTACCTAGTATATAGTACACTACCAATATCTTCTCAATTAATGATAAAGCAACAAACATGTACCAAGAAAATTCTTAAAGCCATAGACATAGGTAAGGACTCTCTCTAAACAGAATGTCACTTGTACAAGAAATAATGAGAAGAATCAACAAGTGGCATCATATCAAATTAAAAAGCTTCCACACGACAAAGGAAACAACAAATAGAGTGAAGATACACTACAAAATGAAAAAAATTTACCATCTATTCCTCAGGACTAATATTTAAAATATATATAAAAAACTCAAAAAATTATACCCACCAAAATGAAGGCCCAATAAAAAAAATGAGTAACTAAAATGAACAGACACTTCCTAGAAGAAGTATAAAAGGTCAATAAATACATGAAAATAATGTTCAACATTTCTGGGCATTAGAGAAATGCAAATTAAAACATTGAAACCTCATCTTATACCAGAAAGAATGGCTTTGTTAGTTACTTTTCTCTCACTGCTGAGACAAAATACCCAATTCCCAAAATTAAGAAAGGAAAGGTTTATTTAGCTCACAGTTTGTGAAGGTTTCAGTTCAGAATCATTTGGCTCCAAGGCAGGATGGTATGGTAGAGGGCAATAGTTCATGGCAGCCAGAAGACAGCAAAAGCAACAAGAGCAAAAAGGAAGAAACAGAAGACTCTTTCTGTTCCTTATACTGTAAGCAGGTTCTCTACCCTAGGGTGTAGCACTCACATTCATAATCCCAACACTGGAACATGAATTACAAATTCTAGAAGCCTGCCCCCATGACTGCATGAGGCTTTGCGGGGGAAATCCAGACACCAATCATAACAATGGCTATCACCAAGAAATCAAATAACAACAAATACTGGAGAGAGTATGTGGTGGGGAGAATCCTGTTACATTATTGGTGGGAATATAAACTAGTGCAACTACTATGGAAATCAATAAGGACATTCCTCAAGATATTAAAATTAGAAATTCCATTTGACCCATCTATTCCCCTTCTAGGTAACTTCCAGAAACAGTAAAGACATCATAGTAATATATGTATATCCATGTTTATAGCAGCACAATTCATAATAGATAAATCTTGGAAGTAGCCTGAGGAACCATCAGTAGATGAATGGATAGAGAAAATGTGTTATTTATACATAAGGGAGTACTACTCTGTCATAAAAAGGATAAATTTAAGTCATTTGTAGGAAAATGGATACACCTTGAGACCACAAATTTAAGTGAAATAAATCAGACACAATATTAAATATCACTTTGTTTCTCTTATATGAGAAAACCAAAGTATAAGTAATTTAAAGAGCAAAATAAAAGACAATAGGAAACAGAAAGATAGACCTTCTACAAATGGGAAGGGGATCTAGAAATGAAAGGAGTGCTGGACATGGTAGTGTCCACTTGTGATACCAGTATTGGGGAGGCAGAGGCAGAAGGAGTGTGTGAGGTTGAGGCCAGTCTAAGCTACACAGTGAGTTCAAGCCCAGCCTAACTATAGAGTCTCAAAACCCTAACTATAACTGTTTCAAAAAAACAAAAAAAGAAAGAAGAAAGAAATGAAGTGCCAGAGAAGGGAGATGGGAATTAAAAAGGATAAAATGATACATATATGTATCAACTCAAGATGACTGTATTCATTAGGTATCACAAACACAGAAAAGTAAGTAACAGGCACCAATGATTTCCAAATCTAAGATTCTTTAAATAATAATATACCAGGAAGAGATATTTTCCTTGTAAATTAATACATTAACTTCATGATGAAAACAATGTTGACTTTGGTAATTTATAAACCATTTTGACCATAGATATGCTTAATAAAAATGTTCGACTTAACTACAGATGACACAAGTCTTAACCAGTAATCTAATCCTACTGTCAAGAAAAGGTACAAACCATGTCTTTTTCTCTTTTGCTTTATTTTCTGCATATAAAAAGTGGACTAATTTGGAAAAAACTATAAAGAATACAATGTAATCTTAATCCCACACAGATTTTAGTTATATACTACCATACATGATCTCATTTGAGTATAAGAATCCTGTGAATTACGGTTCTGTTGTAGAGATAAAAGAAACTAAAGCCCAAAAAGTTCAAGTCATCTGCACAGTTTTACAGAGACAGAACTAAAAATTAACTCTTCTGATTTGTGAGGTAGTGCTGTTTTTCTCTGTAAGGTTAGTAGAATTAAGTTTCTCCTCTTCCAGATGAAAATTTTTTCTTTTTTTCCTGTAGTGCTGGAGATAGGGGTTCACATATGCTGGGAAAATCCTCTACCTTTGAGCTACATCCCTAGCCCCAGATGAATTTAACAGTATGTGACTACACAAAAGCAGATAATTGGTCTTGTCATTCCTATATCACTGAGTCAACACACATTACTAACGCACTAATTTGTTAATACGTTTTCTAGAATGATACATTGGTTTATAAGCCACGTCCTCATTTATGTGAGCTCATTCAGCTTTCAGCTATGTATGCTGCATTTATTGGGTCTGTATGTAGCTTCCTGTTTGGTCTCTTACAAATCGGTTTAAAGTTCTTACTTCTGAACCTTGCCTTCGCTTCCTGTTTACTATGGAGCTCTGGGAAAAACACGGGTTTGATTGTTTAATCTGTGAATCATGTTCGTATCTTTGTTTAATTTTATCGCAGGCACTCTTGATCACCACCAGGGGGCAAAAGCCTAGCAGATGGCTTCTCTGCAATACACTGCAAACAGGACTGTACAGTACACGGACCCTCAGTGTCTGATTCTTGATGGAACCTCCCTGCTAATTATTTCAACCACAAGGCCCCAGGGAGAGAACAAAGGCTCAGTACAGAGGGCTCTTGTGGCACTTAACCATACAGCAACCAGAAACAGCTCATGACATCCCTGTCAGTCTAAAAGGAGCAATAAGATCCAAGAGCGAGTGACAAATAGAAGATTGATTTTAGTAACTACAAACTCCTCTGTGTGTTTTTTACAGCTTTGATATGTATGGTGTACTTACCAGCTCATCCACTCAGAAAGAGCTCTGTCAGTTCTCTTGCTGTGTAAATACTAAGCAGTGTTCACACTGTTTTTTCCCTTTTTAAATTTTGATCTTTCATTACATTCTTGGTTTATGTATTGTGGATGGTTTATCTTTTATAAAATTATTCTTTTAAAATATTCATAATCGGCATTTTCACTTACGTCTGGGAAATAATGTAACCTAGAAACCAGGGAGAAGAGAACTCAAAGATCAAATTTAATTAGTATCATTTCTTCACAGCAGGAAGCAGACAGGAGGTAAACAGCAAGTAGGACTTTTACAACTCGGTGAGCACAGCTCTCTCTGCCTCCACTCACAGCCTCTTTTTCACCTGAGGAGCGATGAATGACTTTAGATAGGTAATAGAGGAAGCATGCAGGTACCACGAAGCTTTGCAGCGTTTATGAAGAAAATACTTCAAAAAGTCTCGTTATAAAACACGTACCGAAAGGTGGGAAAGCTCAGGACCCCACTCCCGCCCCCGAGCGGGGTCAAAGGGAGGAAACTTGACTCCAGATCCAGCCCAGTCTCAAACACACCCTGTGAAAGCGTCTGAACCCCCGCAGAACCCTTTCCCACCAGAAACGGGTTTGCCTCCGATTTCTACCTCGGTTTCTTCTCTCTAAGGCTGGCTAGGCTGTACGCCCTACCTCATAAAATGGTTGTCTCTCAGGGGAGCGAGGACTCCTCACTCCGCCGGCCGCTTTCGAGCCCTTCGCCGCCCCGCCCCGCCCCCCAGCAAGCGCGGTCTCAGCGCCAGGAAGGAGCCCCGGGAGGGGGCGGCGGCCCGAGGCGCACGCACACTGCCAGCTTCCGGCAGTCCAGGGGTTAAAACGAAGCGGCGGCGCGCGCTGAGGGGAGAGGCGGTTGCTGACAGGTGGCGCCTGCGCACTAGGAGCGCTCATTGTGCCCCGCAGCTGCCGAGCCGCCCGCCAGCCGCCCGTTCGGCGCGTCAGTCAGCGGAGAGTCCAGTGTTGGGTGCGGATCTAGAGATCGTTCCCGCGGCCTCTTCTTCCCGTTCCCCTCACCCCTACCCCGTACCCTTCACTCTCTTCCCGGCTCGATCACCCCCCCTCCCCCCGCACACTCAAGACGAGAATGTCCTGCCCGGAACAAGCTAGCAGCGCCTAAATGGCTTTGGTCACGGTCCAGCGGTCGCCTACCCCCAGCACCACCTCCAGCCCCTGCGCCTCGGTGAGTCCCTCCCGGCGGCTGCTCCGCTTGCTTCTGTCACTGCGGCTCCGCTTTGCCTCAGCGGGTCCCGCCGAACGCCACTGCGCACGCGCCGCGCCGCTTCCCAGGCCTTGGCACTCTGCTGCCGCGAACCCCCCACACCCTCTTCTTACAGATGAGCTGCGGGAACTGCAAGACGTTGGTTTATTGCCCCCATCACCCTGAGCACCCAGCTTCTCACAGTCCTCGCCCTGAAATCCCGGGTGGCATGCCTTCCAATGCTTGAGCATTTCCTTTCGGGAATGAGTCATTTTTGCTTTTCACCCTCCCCCTTCTGCTCTCTGTTGCTCTGCTGCAGGGAGGAGACCGAGGGTCTCCAGTGTTGGCCCTTACCCATACCTACATCCTCTTACCCACACCAATTCAGGAACCCTTTCTGTGTTTGCACGCTACTTCCCCTTTTTCAGACTCGTCTTGGTATGTGCCTGCTCACCTAGTCACTTGCGGTCTTTCTTGAGCCCTGTACTGTTCAAGCTTCATTGGACTACTGAACCGTAGTTATTCCTCGTCTCTTCCCTTCCCCAAACGGTGGCAGTTGGGTCTCCTCTGCTTCTTGGATTTCTAACCTTTCTTCAGTGAGGTCTTGAAGCATCTTGTGCTCTTCAATGACCAGTCCTATTCATTTCCACCTTATAGACATTTATGTGTTACATTCATTGCTAGTGATCATTCTTGTTCTAAGGTCATGTTTGAGTGGCTTTTTACTTCAGATGCCTATGCCAATAAAGCATGCTTCCCAATGGACAATATACAGTGTCTGCCCTTTTCCTGCAGGGTCTCTCTTTGCCTTGCTCTTTGGCTCAGCCCCATTCCTTTGCAACTATTTCCTAGGCTTCAATTTTGAAAATATTTATTTAAAAATAAAATATTGCACCACTGGAGCAAAACGGACTTAAAAACCCCCCAGCATCTAGTTGTTTTAGAAAGAAACAGACTAAATGGAAATGAGAAAACTATTGAATTTCCTACAGAATTGTGATTTTGAAAGTATTGTTGGTGGACTTGGTAGCAGCAAGTTGCAAAGAGGTATTCAAAAACACTGTACTGACTTCCATTATATAAAAAGTTGAATTACTCAAAATTTATTAACTGAGACATACGGTTTCATATCTTCAAAAAATGCTGGCCCATGATTTTACATAGGATCTTGAATTTGTTTTCCTGTGTGTGCATAGCTGTGTTTTCATCTTTTCTGTTTTCTTTTGCATTTTGTGTGACCAAGTTGACAATTTTATCTTAAAGGAGTGGTTCTGTTTCAAAGATTAATTTATTTGTAGTATTCCAGAGAGTAGACTAGAACTAGGATTCTTGGACAGAAGTTTAGGAAGGCAGATTTCTAGTGATTGAAAAGAATACAGTGGAATACACCGCCTTGTAATACTTTGAGTATCCATTGCTGGAAGTGCAAGTATTCAAGCAAAGGCTGGGAAGACCTTTCATCTGGGTGGTGGATTAAAGAATTCCTGCAGGTGGTGACTTTAAGACTCTTTAAGATTCTGTGATTTGAGAATTATTGTGCGTTAAAGCTGATAAAACATTTTAGGGTCCTCTAAAAACAAGTACCATAAAAATAGAAATTTAATGTATTTTATGTGAAGTACTTCAGGGTAGATTTTGGAAAGTCATTAACGTACCATCAGACCATCTTAATTCACTGTACAAGTGAACTCTGGTTTGTGGTTAGGAGGCCAGATTTTTGGCTAAGAAAGCAATTGAGAGTTCATACATACAGATTAGAAATCAGTATCATAGTAACATTTTCCCTGGGCATTTTTGAAAATGGTTTATGCTAGAATAATACATTTATTAAGTTGTTATGCCAATTTCTTGAGGTGATTGATTAGTATACAGTATATTCCTATCTACTTGATTTGGCTTCATTAGCCACAACTTGGGTTACTAAAAGTGACTGTTACTCTAATAGTCACTTTTGACATAGGTAATTAAATTGATCATGTGGTAAACTCGGTTGTTAATCCAAATCACTGATATTTCTATATGTACTAATCTGGTCATTTCAGTTGTTTATACTTAGCCTTTGGGTACAAAGGAATCCTGGCAGGGTATGTGTAACAATTAGCATTGTAGTGTGACTGATAAGCCAGTTATCTTTCCTTTTAAATTTGATTTCATACAGAGCTGTATGCAGCTGAGTTGTCTTATGGTCCTTGTGCTCCATGTTTGGCTGCTGTCCAACCTGCGTATATTTTGCTGTTGTATCTCTTCCAGCATGAATTGGTTTGGTTAGTTGTTTTAAAAGAGAGAGTGTAAAGGAATCTAGAGAATCATAAAAGAGAAATTTAATTTTGTGAGGTTGGGGATTTATTTTTTCCATTAATCACTATAATTATTCTATTTTCACTACAGGAGAAAAATGTGGAATATGTTAATACTGTTAGTTCTTCAGTAGACCTTCATTAGGTACTAACCAATTAATCACCTTTCTAAGCCACTATACATACTAAGATGTATAAGACATTTACTGTCCTAATGGACAGTAAATGGACCACAAAATCCAGCTACCAGGGGCAGAGAGGAAAAACAAACATGAGGTAGGAGGTTGGAAAAGGAGAGCAAGAGGAATGATACTGTATGTATCTGAGGAATGAGTTCATAATGCTCATAAGTATTGTCTAAATTCAGATTAAGATAAATTCACCACTTGCAGTTATAATAAGAGTTATAAAAATATCTAGCATCTCTTGGGTCCAGGCATCACGTAAAGTGCTTTATATAAATGGATTAACTCATTTACTGTTCATAATATGCCTCAGAGGAGTTGCTCTTATCCCCATCGTATGTACTAAGAAACCGAGGCAAGACGATATTAACGAATATGCCATGTGTCACTCAGTCAATAAGGGACTGGAATTGTAATTCAAACACAGATTGCCTAACTTTAAGATCTTCCATGTTTCCTAGAGCATATCGTACCCACAGAGTATCCCAGATAGAGAGAAGCTGTATGCACCAAGACTTAGAGACAGAAAAATACAAAGCATATCTAAAGGAATTAAATAGGCCAGCTTGAGGAAGAGTTTGGAGGAATCTTAAGAGATAAAGGTGAAGAGATACCTATGGCTGTGTGGAGACATCTGAGCCTAAATGTTTGAACTTGTTGGAGAAGGTAATAGAGACGCCTCAGAGATTTTGAACAGATATGCCCACAGTAGTGTTTTAAGAAAATTGATTTAGGAGCTATGAACCAGAGGGGGTTCCCAGAGCGGGAGCTATGAACCAGAGAGAATTTCTTGAGTAGAACCTAATAGAGGCTATTGCAGTCCAGATGTGAAACAGAGCTGCCTGAACTGGGACTTCTAAATTGGCAGTGTGGGATAAAGGGACAGAGATTGTAGAAAAGACTCAAAGGACTTAGGTATTGATTGAATATAGGAGGAAAGAAATTAGATGTCAATTCTTGGAATATATAGTTCTTCCTAGAAAATAAATGCTACATGGGACTGGAGGTATACTTCAGTGGTTCAGTGCTAAGACTTAGTGTTTAACATGTGAGAGGCCCTGGGTTCAATACCTAGCAACAACAACAACCAATTATCTTTTTCCCTCTATTCTTTTTTGGTATAAATTTTCTTTTTGTAGATTACATTTTTCTTTTTTAAGACAAGATCTTACTGGGTGGTTTAGGCTGGCCTGAACTCAGGGTAGCCTAGACTGGCGTCAGACTTGTGGCAAACCTCCTGCCGTGGCCTCCCAAGTGCTAGGATTGCAGGCATGTATTCCCATGCCTTGCTTTATAATTTACTTTTAATTTAAAAATTATTTTTGTTTTTATTTTTAATTGATCCAGTAATTGTACATAGTTATGGAAGACAGGACGGTGATGATTTGAAATGTTAACACAATGTATAATGATGAGATCAGGATAGTTGGTATAGCTATCATTTTAGACATTTTATCATTGTTTTGTGATGGAGAAATTCAAAATTCTCTCTGCTAGCTATTTGAAAATATATAATTATTGTCAACCACTGTTATTCTACTCTGTTATAGAATATTACAAGGTATTTCTCCTATTCAGCTGTATTCTTGTACTAGCTATCTTTTCTCCTTTCCCTACACCTTTTCTAGGTTCTGGTAACCACTATTTTCTGACTTCTCTGGATCAATTTTTTAGCTTTCATGTATAAAAGAGAACATGCCATATTTGTCTTTCTGTGCTTTCTGTGCCTTGATGTAATATTCTCTAAATCCATCCATTTTGCTAGAAGTGATAGGATTTTTTTGCTGATATATATATATATATATATATATATATATATAATTTATATATGTATCATATTTTTTTCTCTGTTGATGAACACCTAGGTTGATTCCATAGCTTGACTGTTATGAGTAGTGCTGCAGTAGACATGTGAGTGCAGATGTGTCTTTGGGTATACACCCAGTAGTAGGATTTCTGGATCATCTGGCAATTATTTCTGGGTTTTTTTGAAGAAACTTCATACTGTTTCATAATAGCTGTACTAATTGATATTCCCTCCATGAGTGCATAAAAATTCCCCTTGGCATCCTTGCCAGAAAAAAATTTTACTTTTTATTGACAAAAATTGTATATATTTATACAATATGCAACATGATGGCTAGATATAAGTGTAATATTGTAGAAGAGATTAAATAAAGCAAATGTATCCATCACCTATTATACTTTTCT